TCGGGTGCCGCTGGAAAAGCTGCATGGGCTGCTGAATCCTGTGGAAGAGCTGGCGGGCCCACAGGATCTTCCCCGCGATGGGAGGCTGGTCTCGGGCCAAAGGAGGGTCATATTTCTGCTTTGAATACAGCTTCGAAATCATATCAATGTCAGCCCCATAGTTCTCGAGGATAAGTCGGTATTTGTTATCAATACCAAGATTAGGTATATTCAACCTGATTTTTTTAAAAGGTAAAAAACTTAAATTAATGGAAAGATGTCTAGTAATCTCATTAATATTTATTTTAAAACAAATGCTAATGGAAAAGAATGAGATATTGGTGTGGCATATTAAAAGAAGCAAAATAATACCCATCCTTAAAATGTAGGCAAAACTCTTAATTTAGGAATAATGTTTTCAAATTACTTAAACATTAAGAAATATTTGCTATAGACAGTTACAAGGTACTTCAAAGCTAAGAGTATTCTCTATTCGTAGAAATAAAATAAATCCTTAATCCTCAAAAGGATTAATCCTCTTAATCCTCCAAAGAACTTAAAAACCTGTGGCCTTGTGACCCATATTGTCAAGAGAGATTTTTCTCCCATTAGAATATGAAATAACAATAATAGTAATGATAATAAGAGCTAAACTATGTTCACATTGCCCCAATTTTAGAAATGGAACTTAGAAAATTATTTCAGATTTTTACCTTTCAAATTTCTTTAACATACTTAGAGCTTGATTTGTGTTTTGAATCTTTTCAAATGTAACATCCATGAACTTCTGCAACTCATTCTAAAATAGAAAAAACATCTGATTATGAACAATGAATTAGAATTGGGAATTTCCTATTTTGCAACAAGATAAAAGAGCTCCCCATTCTCTACAAACACACATAATACAGAACACAATATAACAGAAAATTTAATGAGCTTAAAGGAGTGATAAATGCCCGGAAGCCAGAAACAAAGAGGGACTCGAGAGTCAGAGCAGTTGTGGGAGTTGGCACCATGGCCAGCTGCGCGGGTACTGGGCCAGGCACGCAGCCTTGGCAGGAAAGGCATGGGGCTTTGTCACAATGGAGAGAGGAGCTGTGGGGTCCTAACACCCTTGGCGGATCCTGCATAAAGCCAGGATCTTTGAAGTGCTGCCTGGTGTATGCAAAGGGAACTAAATGACTATTTACAAGTCAGGAAAGCTGCAAAGTGGCTTGACATCTGCCCAGAGCCATGAATAGGGGGAAAAAAATAGTCACCCTACAACAAAGTTCCCATACTTTCTCTGTGTGCTTTGTGAGACATGGGTCTCTTTCACAACTGCTCACCTATAGCACTGTAGTGCCAAAGCAGCCATAGAGGATGCACAGATACGCCAAGGGGGGCCAGGGGCTGAGTCAGTCCAAATACCCCCGTTTCTAAGGCCAGCTGCAGACCTGACTTCGGATATGCCAGACATTGTTCACCATTTGTTTGAGTTACCTCTGGTCACAGTCATTGCTATTCAGTGACAAATGGAAATAAATGTCTATATTATAATAATGCTACAATGTTTCAACGGAAGATGAAAGTTAACTTTCAAAGAACTTAAATGGAAGACATGCAGAAGTCTGATCACAGATCATTATCCAAAGCTATATTTA